GGTCAGACCAACAGACGTATATCTGCCAGAACCCAGGAGCACAAAAACTCGATAAGAACAAAACAAACCTCCTCTGCCCTCTTTCAACACCATCTACAAACAGGTCACAAGATTAATTTTGAGTCCACAAAACAGATAGCACAGGTGCAAAACCCAAGAATTCGACAAATCAGGGAAGCTATCGAAATCGAAAAGCAAGGCCTCATCAACAAAAGGGATGACTCACTAAACATCCCAAGGATTTGGAAAACAATAATTAAAAACAACCCCCAAAGACAACCACAAATTGATAATGAACCATCGCAGGTAGGAGAACCGCCAGAAGCCATTAACAACCCTCAGGTAGAAAAACAGGAACGTGGAACTATTAACCATAAAGTACTTCTAGGCAGGGCACACTATCATGTCTGCAGACTTCCTCCACCACCAAGTCGAGTTATCTTTAAAGAGGAATCCTAAGGTATTCGATTTCAATGACTTCAAAAATGTCGTTCAACAATGTGATTCATCAAAAATTGATGTGATCGATATGAAAATTGAATGGATGAATCTAAGTTCCAAATATAAATTGCAGAGAATATCTCCTAAGCCCTATCTCCACGACATGGTTTTCTTTCAGTTCCACAGAAATAAAAAACTCTCTGGTACAAAAACAAATTCTCGCATGAACCTTTGGAACTGAACTTCCTAACAGCAAGTTATTTTAAAGCGACTATACCAAAGGCTACTCAACGAAATACTCCCAGAGGAATTTCTTAAGAGAGAAAGAATAATCTGATATCCAAATTGCGACCGATCATTCCTGCAAATCGTTTATCATTCTGAGAAGAACTGGAAGTTTCAGAGGAGCTGAGTCATGATGACTTGTAGTTTCTCATGAACTTGTTCATTATTACTATTTTTTAAGAGTGTTTAATCAGTTTACTTTTTACTATTAAATCATTGAGGTATTGTGTTCCAGGTGAAAATAAAATTCTAATAAGTGAAGCGTCCTTGATTATATCATGCTTTCCAAGTTAGAATGTCCTAACTTTAGATTTTCTCTAATTTCGAATATAATAATGATGTTACATGAAATATATATTACTTGTGATAATTTTTAAGAAAATAGTCAGGACTGAGGAAAGTTTTCGATTTGAAGAACTCAAAATGATGAAAGCATAGAATACTTCACAAAAACTCATTAATCTCCTTTTCATAATTTGGCTAGTTAGGACATTTTAGTCAAGCAGGGCAGAATAGGTGTATCATACGTGACGACTGTATTGAAAAAGACATCGGATGCTGGATGTCTAGAACACGATATGAGAGGATGGCACAAAAATAGACCACACAGAATTTCGTAGAATGTTGAAAAAACTGTTGTAGAACATATAAAACGATTTCCTGTTGTGCCATCTCATTACACATGAAAATATTCTCAGAAAATATACCTTGAAGAAGGTTTAAATATATCCCAAATGCACAGACTCTACGTAGAATATATGCAACAAAATGGTACCACTGAATTTGCGACCAAACGGCAGTATGCCGTTTGGTATGATAATTTAATGTTTGAAGACAAGAGTAATGATTACTTTTCTTTCTTTCACCTGCTCCATGCTTTATTTATATTTTAATGTCTTAAAATGTCGGGGGCGATCCAGACACCCCCCCACTTCGCTACGCCACTGTTCAAGCACTGACCAACTGCACTAACCAACCCCACCGACGAATCCGCCCCTGTCCATCGTTAGATCAAGGGCTACGAAACACCGTCAAAACCAAATCGACGCGGTATAGTAGGACTGGATCGGATCTTCCGACTAAGCCACTGCCGCCGGCAACATTGCACTGTCACGACAGTTCCTTCTCACGACACGAAAGAGTGTTGTGGCTCGATTCCGCGGCATCTTATAAACAAAAGCACCTCGAACGAACTCTGTATGCGGCCTTTGTTTTCTCATACTGTATAACTCGATTTAGTGAATAATAATGTCGGACACAGTGTTTGAATTATTGAAAACGTGCGTTCCTAGGTATTGATTTTTGTACCTAACCTCAAAATCGAACGGTGAATCACCCCTTGGTAGTCAACCCCGCCGGGTTTTGTTTTTAAAGGGACTGCATTCAAAGAAACACAGTTTGCCTTGCATGGGGCGTTCGAACAATTGGTGTAGTGGGAATCCGCCGATTTTTTGTGAACTGACCGTAGGTGGAGAAGGTGATAAACAGTTTTTTTTCTTCATACAGCTGTCTGTGTTTTTTTACTAGTGAGTTTCGATTGCGTCCTGTGATATTAGTGAATGTTCAGGTAAGTTTTCTCATTTCACATTTGCTGGTAGTTGAAAATAAACAGATCTATCTATTTAAGACCATCTCGTGATTTGATTAACTGAAGTTGTCTTTGCGTCCTTTCGAAATAAACAGTCATTTTCCGCAAATCGTAAAATCCTTCCTAAAATCGTCGAAGTCCTTGAAAAGAGGGTAGTTAGTTGGCGAAAGATCTGGGGAGTATGGTGGGTGAGATAGAACTTCGACGTTCAATTCGTTCAATTTTCGGACGGTGATTTGTAAAACGTGCGGACGGGCATTGTCGTGCTTTGCTGCTTTGATGAATAGTTGAATAATAGGTTAAATAATGAACCTAAAAAATTTCGGCTCGTAGAACTCTTCTCAAATGCATACCTAAGAAGATTATAAGAAGAAAGATTATACATGTTTTTTGATGTGTTTCTTATAACTTNCTACTTTTGAGTAAATTCGAGTCTGAAATTAACAAACTTGTTAAAAATCATCAAATTCATCCTCCACATTAGATTAGTTTTAAAATTCAAATTGAAATGTTTGTTTTAATAACATGAATAAAAGTTTTCCTACTATAACAAAATGGTGTTTCACATTAACCTCATCAGAAAGTCTTATTTTCACATGACACACAATTTAATTATCAGCATAATGACTGCGATTGTGATTCTTAAGATGTAGTAAAGTAAAAAAAAAATGGGGGGCGCTAGAAAATAATTAATTCTTGAAGTGGGCGGTAGACAAAATAAGTTTAAGAACCTCTGATCTAAATCAATTATCACGAATTTTGTCGTTCTTGACTGAGATAATATTCAATTAGCTGTTCATTCCAAAAATGTTCTTTCACCCTTGTCTCAGTAGATTGGAGTGTTGCCCAATATTCGATCATTCTGGTTATAATACGATATTATAATTTTGAAAATGCAACTGAACTGGATAAGTATATATATGATTCCATTTTTTAGGATGTTCAAAAAAGTGCTTGGCAAGAATTCACCACCGTAGAACAAACCATCCAGGAACAAGCCCATGTCATAGAAACAATGAAGGAAGATTATGAAAAAGAGATTGAAAACCTAAAGAAGGTGATAAAGGAGCAAGAAGAAACCAATTTGATTTTGAAAAATGAGGTTCCCATGACACATTATCATTTGTATAAAGATAAGTATAAGTAGGAGGTGGAGATGTCTGTGTGAATTTGACAATGTTTTATATGATTGTTTTGATAATAAAATACGGACGTTTTATGAATTGTCTCTCATTTAGTTCCATATTTTCTATGCGACTATTGGAAAAAGCGTCAATTGTGTTACTGTTTCTTGTCGGGTAAATATGAATATTATTTTGAAATATTTCAACAAACTTCATTTTCACTAGTAAATGGCTCATCAAATATGTGTATAAATATTTCTATAATTGTGAATATGGAATAGTATGTTCACAGCGACATCTTTCTGTAGAAAGCTCACCAAACATATGACTTCAAACAACGGTAATAATTTAATTTCTGTATCATAGTTCCGACATAAAGCATAGATGGCAGTACCAACATGGTTGGACGAACTTCTGTGATAACCTTACCTGTGTATACGGATTTGTATAATCCCTAACTTTATTTGAAGAAATATGAGGAAATCTTTAGTGAAACGTTCATTTTTATATACCCCTTGAAAAAATACGCCCTGTATCAAATATCGTTTTTCAAGCTATATTTGGTTTTGCCAAGCTATAACTATTTAAAATTGGGTGATCTTGTTTTCACTTATTTCAAGTTTTTTCTGCATAAACCCTTTGATTTTATATCCATATCATGAACGTGCTTAAAAAACATATTTGCGACCCCGCCGCATAGAATTGAAAATAACGTAATTTTTTCTATATTATTTCAAATCCTATCATTGGATACCTATATAATGAGCAAACTATTCAGTCATCCTGGGCGATCTACCAAACTGAATTTACAGTGACATCATAATTATATTTCATATTGTTTCAGCATACCCACATTGAGTGTGTAGGTTACCTTAGGTTATGTCCAAAGTGAGTGAGTCTATTCGACCCTCTACCGCAACCCGCAACGGTTTATTGTGGCTCACACCGAATCACACTCGACCAGGTACAGGGCAGGTACAAATTTTGTGCTCTGCTGTTTCATCATTTTCCAAACAGAGGCGACACACTGTATTCCGACCGTCCGAGTTTCTGCATATGATGATTCAAATGACAGTGACCTCTAAGAAGGCCTGTTAGACATCGTAGTTCAACCCTACTGTAGTCCAACAACTGTTTGGTATCAAGCTTTGAAGGGTGAATAAACGCCTTGGATTGAGCCAATCCTGGAAGAATCTGCCAGAAGTCCATAAATCTTTTTGCTATCCAGGTGTTCAATGTTTGTTTGGCAAAGCCTAAAGCGATGCCAATGACAGGTTCTGGTCCGATAAAGCTGCTTGCAGCACCCTCCTTTGCAAGGAAGTCAGCAGCCTCATTCCCTCCCAAGCCAGTATGGCCAGGAATCTAGACCAGACACAATCCGTCAAGGCTTTCTATCAAGGAGAGTCGTTTTTGGCAATTTGATACCAATTTTGACGTTGTTCGGTGGGAGCCAAGAGCTTCCGACGCCGCTTGACTATGAGTATGAGGTTGAATTCTTCCTATTTCTCCGCACACAATTCAATAGCGTAAATTTCCGCTTGAAATGCAGTCGCATAGGTTCCTAGGCAGGTTGATATCTCTGTCCTGGGCCTGCAACTGAAAACACCTGCACCAGAATCGGAAGGTGTTTTTGACCCGTCTGTGAACCAACAACTATCTGCTCTTTAATATTTCGTTCCCCCGATGGATCTAGTTCTCTCTACTCGGTAACAGCATTTTATAGGGCAGTTCGTAGTTGACAGTTGGAGGCATAAACTTGGAGGTCATTTCCAAAATGATGTGACTTCCAGTGCCAACCAACAGTCTGTTGCACTCTGCATTGAATTGATTTGTGCAATTGGCAATGTGCACAAGTCTATATGCAGTCCATCTAGCTTCTCTCTCCAGTAAAATGTGGAGAGGAGGTAAATCTAGAAGGATTTCCATGGCCGCTGATGGCACCACTGTTAGCCAGACGAGCGTGTCTCTGTAAGCTAGAAAGCTTCGCCTGGGCCGTTTTCTATAAAGCCTACGGCAACCAGACAATTGCTCCATAAGTAATAATTGGTCTGTGTTACCACAAGCTCTTCGACATATCCATAGGAACAGTCTGGCTTGGTGTAAAACTTTTTCCAAGTGAGCGTTCCAGGTGAGTTTTTTATCAAGGATAACGCAAAAATATTTCACCTCCGTTCCAAATGGAATGACCTCACCATTGAGGTGAAGTGACGTTAGATCGTCCAATTTTCTCCTCCTGGTGAAGGGAATCATCACAGTTTTGCTGGGGTTGACAGACATCTGCTGCCTCAGGCACCAACTGTGAACAACGTTCATTGGGCTTTGGATGATGTTACAAGCTATATCATCCAAAGCACGATGGATGCTGTTCACAGTTGGTGTCTGAGGGACCAGATGTCATTGAATGTGTAACAAACAAAATAGTCTGCCATTTTTGTCGGTGCGCCATATTTGATAATCATGCACTGTCACTTGCAAATAAAAAGTTGCAAAATTTGACCCGAACATTGTCAAACATTGTCAATTAAATAAAATCATGTTGAAGCTAAACTTTCCATCTACTGTATAAAAATGGATAATTGTTGGTTGGTTAGTTGGTGATAAACTTCTACATCGCTCGACCAATCGTGATGAAACTTGACATATATACGTAATTTTTCATAGAGAAGGTTTTTAGGCTATCAATTTTTCTGTGACTCGCCACTGATTCTGTCAAACTTTGGAACAGCAACCATACATCAACATAGTACTAGTCTACTATATAAAAATGGATGCTTGTTGGTTGTTTGGTGGGTAAGTGAAAAACTTCTTCATCGCTCAACTGAACGTGATGAAACTTGATATGTATAAGTAATTTTTCATAGAGAAGGTGTCGAGGCTATCAATTTTTCTGTAACTCGCCACTAGATGGTGCTGTAGAACATTTTTTTCGAAATCACTGTTCTATAACGCCGCGCAAGCCTAAGTTCGTTGATTCTGATTCTGTCAAAACATTGGAACAGCAGCGATACAGCAACATAGTACTAGTAACTTATAAATGACGATCGATTCTGTAATCGACACAAAAATCTCTACGCTCTTTTTGAAACAGTAATCTTGATTTTGAGCAAAAAACTCTTTTTTACTTTCAATATAATATGTTCTTAGGCCCCCTTCTGGACGCCTATGAAGACACGATCAAAGAGAAGGAAGAAATCATTCAGAACTACGAACGGGAAATGTACAAGTTCACAGGAAAACTCCGGGAAATCATCAAGGAGAACGAATCGCTCTTCTCAAGGCTTACCGAAGACGAAGGATGCAGCTCGAAACTAAAAAGCGAAGTAACAAAGCTCAAAGTCGAGCTCAAGTCGACTAGAGAGCAAAACGACGTGCTTATCAAAAAGTGTTCAATCAAGCAGGATAAAGTGGAGGAGATACTGAAGGTGTACGAAGCTAAAGGTACGAAACCTTTTTGAAAAATTCTACAAAGAGAGAACAAGACAGTTTTTTGTTTCAGTGGAACAGATGAGAAGAGATTTTGAAGTACTACATGGGGAGTTCATCAAATGCAGGGCAGAAAATGCTGCTTTAAAAGAAAAGGCCAAGTCACTGGTGGATTCGCAAGAAGATTACAAGAACCAAATGCAGAATTTTATACCGTTGGCTGTACATACGTCAAGCGTAAACGAATGCAAAAAGTAAGCTTTAGTCCATTGAAAAGTTACATTTAGGGTTGCGTTTTTCAGAGAATCCAATTTTATTTTTTCAATGTGTAGGGGGGTCAGTAGAAGCTTAAATTCAAGTTTGTGAGGTCGTCAAACTTGTCCCTCAGCCGCCATCTTGGAAAAAGGGGTGCAAAGGGTTTCGCGCTATATCTCGTAAACTAGCAACCCTACAGAAAATTTAATCGAACATAAAATGTAGCAAACTGAATTTTCTACAATTTCATTCCCATTACTTCTCATCGTCAAGTGACCAACAAAAAAGTTATGAACTAAAATAAGTGAAACTTTTGTAACAAGTTTACTTTTGGAGGTTATAACTTTTTTCCAGTTCATTTCACGATAAAATGGCGTTACAGCAATTTTGTGTAGATTTTTTCAATGTACAATTTTCACTATGAAGTTGTTTAATTTTATCCATTATCTAGGTTTTACAGCACTCCAAACTTGACCAGACTCTCTATCGATCAGTTTATATATACCACAACACAATAAATATTTATTGAGATATGGAGCTGAAAAAACCCGTGACATTTCATCGGTTATAGCTAATAAAGGACAATGAATCTGTTACCTGTATGAGACAAACAAAGATGACATATTTCAGAGGCGTGCTGTTCTGTTTACTTATGTTCCAAGTTCCGAAACATTCTGTGACATATGACATTTTGTGCACCTAACCTACCTTCCTGTATAGAAATAAATAACAAAACAACTGTTGTTTATGTGGCTTGTGGAGATGGTATTGAACTATTTTAAAGTAGAATATCTAGTTATGTATTAATTATTTCAACTTGATATAGGCGCTGTTGCCAATATGTGAATCAGATACAACTCCCTTTAAAAATTAAAACCCAACATTTGAAACATCAATTTGAATACTTTTCGAAGTGAATTTGAAAAACTCATGAATTAAACTCAACTTCATTTTGTTCAAACTTGCATTTGCTGTGATAACCCAAATTGAGGAACATTCCCCTTTCGAACGAATTGTTTCACGCCGGCCAGGAAACCTGCGTGAATAAAGTGAGCTTTCACTTCAATTTTTGCTCAACTTCCACACATTAAATTACATATTCATTATCATTATTATTATGCGTTAATCAATAATGAACTCAAACCATATCTCTTTAATGATGTCACCCTCCAAATGAAGGTTTTTATGTTTTTCAGAAAACTGGAAACGAAACATCTGGAGCTTGAACACACTCTCAATGAAGTTCAACTATCTCGCAGTGCTTTGAGAAAGCAGCTCCACAAAGCTATGGGATTCGCCAAAGAAATGGTTGCGGAACAGGAAACGTTACTAAGGGCATTGAATCAACGGCAACTGGAAAACAAAGCTGTGAGAAAACTAGGTTGCGACATGGCGATGAAAATGGATTCTTTGAAAAATCAGTTGAAGGTGTGTTAATTTACATCAGTCTTTCTCAAAGTGGGCGATAACGCCCCCTTGTGGGTGCTGGAGGCCTATAAGGGGGCAGAAAAGGGCACAGAGGAGATTGGGGGGCGTTGAATTGAAGGGGTTTAGAGGGGCGATGGCGCGTTTCCTCGTGTATCGCCATCTACGGGACTATACAGGAACTATTTCCTGTCCGATAGTTGTCAAACTGTACAGTAGATGGCGGTAAGCTTCAATGCGAAGCGAGAAGTTTCTAGTCTCCATTCTCGAAAGTACCAGGCCCGCCCGCTGCCTCATATAAAAGCGCGCGCGCCATCCAGCAAGTAATGCCATTCGACGATATAACTAAAACAAGTGAGTTTAGTGAGCGAGTAGCTAGGTAAAGTGCTGCACGTGCGGTGGTGAATACTGTGAGTGATGTCATTAGCAAGTTTTTAATACTTGATTCTTTACTTCGGCTTTTGGAGACAA